AGAGAATCCCTCTCAGACAGACACAAGGAATCACCATTCATTGCTGCAGGCACTGCTGTCAAATGGCACTTGTGAAACACACACAGGTTAGATATGTAGGATCACAAACCTGAGACTGAACAGTTTGCAAATGAGGCCAAGTCTAGTCAGCAAAATTCTCCCAGACCTCATCCCTGTCCTGCTGCTGGTTCTAGCTTCAGGCAGGAATGTTTTATTTCAGCAGCTGAATCCAGAACACTCTTACAGGGCAACAACTCCTCGTTTAGATAACTAAGAGGTCTGGTCACATCTGCTTAGGTGTGACTGCTCACACCAGTGACCAGGGACAATTACAGTACTGGGAAGGGGATGAGCTACGGAAAACTGAACTCAAATCACATTTTGAAATAAAAAATAACTCTGGCACTATAAATTTTTAATTGCAGCTGCATTTTGAAGACAAAATCCTTTCCACAACTGTAGCACATCCAGGCTGTTGTGCATATATATCCCTTTGCTGGCATTTCCCAGCTAAATGGGAGAAGCTGGAGAATGCCTTACCTGAGCAGTTTCCTCTTCCTGCTTCCGTTTCTCCTCCTCAGTCTCCACCAGCTTCTGTTTGGTCAGGAGAAGTTCCTTGTTCAGAACATCTGCTTTGTCTTCAGCCTAGAACCAGAGACACTGGGTAAATCAGATGTTATCTGTGCCCATACAAATCCATTGGTACTGCAGAACTAATGCAGATTCAGGCTCTACCACTGCCTTCTCCTGCCCCCTAATGCCTCACACAACCTGTTTTTTATAGGAAATTCCCTTCTCAGGTAGCCATTTCCTAAATTAGTTCACAACTGTGCCAAAGGACCCTTTGGCCAAGCGTTTCCCTACGCCCAGATGGCACACAGGCACAGAGATTCTGTCCCGATGCAAACAACGATGCACAGAGCATTTTTGTTGGGATCAGTGTTCATCTATGTGAGGGCAGCCTGACCTAGCCTCCTTCAGATGGCTCATCCCATTTTTCAATCTGTGAGCAGGGAAAATAGGTAACTGTAAAAACCTTAAGTGTCTGCACTGTACCTTACAAAGTGTGAGGGCAGAGACAAGTGCAAGAGACAAAACAGAACCACCAGACAAAATGGTTTATCAATGCAAATAAGTATTACATGGAGAAACTTGATGATGTGTGTGTTCTGGAGAATATGAATCTTCTCCTTCCTTGGAAGGGCTGAGGTTATGGTGACTGGGAATGCTTTGGTTCTGTGAGCACTGTCCTCACCCACCACCAGGAGAGGAATGTGTTTCTCAGGGTCTGGCTATGTTCTGTTGCCTTCCCCACACACACTGATCTCCTCACTCCTCCCGTTCAGTACCCAGTGCCAGGACAGGCAACAGTTGTGGTCAAACAGCACTGAGGGAAAAGGGCACTGGAAACAACAAGGAACAGTACAGAACTTGGCTCTGAGCTGCAGTTTGGTTTTCCAGCACTGCTGGTGGTACCAGCTTATCTTTCTGCCCCAGTGTAATTATCAATGAGGGTGTTAGTGGCAGCTGTGGGCAGCAGAACCAGCTCCACCATGGCCATGGCTGGAGAGATGGATTGAGGATTGCTGCATGGGAGAAAGGAAAACAAGCAGTGCAGGACTGGAAAATCGATGAGATTGACATTTAGAACAAAAGCACTCAGGGATTACAAGGATATTTTTGATGAAAGACCTGTTTAAAATATGCTTTGAAGGAACTACAGATCTCTCCTCCTTTCATGTGCTCATTCCAGGCTCTCCAAGCACCCACAGTGGTGTGGTACCCCTTGTCCTTGCAGATGAGGAGTGCAGTAGCACAAAGCTTTGCTGTCAGTGCCTGGGACTGGAAGTTGGTGTGGGAGAACTTCATGGAGCCAGTCTTGTCTACAGAGAGACTGGGAAGGGCAGGAGAGCAAGGAATGGGACTGGCACAGGTATGTGCTTGGCAGCCTTGGCATGAGATAAAAATAAGCACTGGCAGGAGCAGACATAAAGCTGCTTCAGAACTATTCCCAGGGAAAACAGAGCACCTCAGCACATTGCTCCTGCCCTCCAGAGGAGACTGCTCACTCCACCGTGCAGAGCACATCTCTGCCTGGCTCTGCTCACCCAGACAGCTCACAGCTTCAGAATCCCAGGGATCCAAACCAGCAGAGCCTAAACAGAAACACAACCTGCACAGCTGTGGGCAGTGATGTTTACAGTTCTGAGGTTAGATAAAGAAAGTCAAATACCTATGGGAAATCCAACTCAGAGGCTCCAGCAGCAAAAAAAATTGCATTATAAAAGGCACTACAGCCCTCGCTGGGCAAGGGACTAATGAGTGATTAGCAAGGGACTAATCCCGAGGTGTGGTGGAGTTTGGCCCTCCTGTATTTAGCACCTTAACAATAGCTGTTAGGGCAGTTATCAGTACCACATAAAACACTCCAGAGAGAGCTGAATGTGTAGCTCTCTGAACATCATCTCTGAGGTGAAGGGTCTGACTGCTGCTGCCCTCCACATTCCAGTCTTCAGGGGGAACAAAAGTAGTTACCAACCAACAACCCAGAGCCTTTCTATCAACAAACACCCACCAGCCCTGCTAATTTTTGGTGCCACTTCATTATCTCTGACTTTTGCTGGCTGCACTAAAACGGCCATAAAAAACAGACACACAGATACTCTGCAAGGCAACTCCCCTGGAAATTAGCCTTTCAAGGAGTATGTGACACCTTTTTCAAGGAAATGCCCATTCTGTGGTATCTGCTCAGAGGTTATGGCTTATATTTTCTGAACAATCCCCACAGAGAAGGTGCAGTGAGTGTTGGCCAAACACCACCCAATGCCTCCAGCTGCACGCTGCAGCCAGGAGTGAGGCTGTCAGGAAAACAAAGGCACAAATAACTGCCCTTTTAACGTTGTGTTCCTGCTTTGTCTTGAGGATAAAGCTCCTAAAAGTGGCGCTGCAAAGCCTGAGCTGGGTCCCATCTCTGCCAGCATTACCTGGTCCAGGTCATTCCGTAAGGCAATTTTGCTTGTTACAAGCTCATGGGCAAGGTCGTCGTTCTCCTGCTCCAGCCTCATGCTTGCTTCTTGCAGCCTGCGGTTCTCCCTCTGCGGAAAGAGAAAACAACCATGGGAGGAAGTTAATCCTTATCAACATTCGAGTGCAGTGAGTGTATTGTGTGCACAGAACACGGCGAGTGCAGTGAGTGAGTGTATTGTGTGCACAGAACACGGAGAAGGCACATTGAGGCAGGACTGCTGCTCTGGGAGCAGCACTGAGTCAAGCCAGCAGTGCAAATGCAGCTACTCCACTCACATCCCAAGGGTTTGTGTCACCTCAGTGACACCGACTGGAGTGTTTCCCTGTCCGAAGGAAACACAACCCTCTCCACAAAAGCATTTGGTTTCCTGCTTGTTGTCTACATTCAGCAGACAAAATCCCACCCAGCAGCAGTGAGCAGAGACCAGTCAAGAATTCCTCATAACAACAGTTTGCAGTTGGAAGTAGAAAGCTGTCCTGCTCCATTCCACAAAATTCCATCTGCAGGGATCCACCAAAACAGCCCATTTTGTACCTGATGTAGTGCCAACTTCCCATCTCCCCTGGGACCAGCATTTAGCAGGGAACCCTCTACAGCTCATAGATCTCAGAACCATCGAGGCTGGAGGAGATCTCCAAGATCAAGTCCAACCCTTACCCTGTTACTGCTGTAACCCCTAAACCATATCCTCCAGTGCCCAGCTCCAGACACCTCTGAAAACACCTCCAGGACTGGTGACTCCACCACCTCCCTGGGCAACCCTGTATGGCCATTTGTGCCCTTCTCCAACTCCCACACAGTGACAGCAACATGTGCTCTACACGAAACCTGCTGGAAGTAAGTGCCAGGTGGAAAGAGGACCTCACCCCTGAGCACACCCCCAGGACCTGCTGGTGGGCAGTGGCTGGAACACAAACTGGAGGCTGCAGGACCTCACTGCACTGCCCTCCACTCCAGAGAGGCACAAGTGACTCCACGGAGCACTGACCACAGAAGGGAAGCACACAGGAGAATGCACAGTAGTAACTCATGTCTTTCAAAAATCAGTTTCAATGACTGTTCTTCTAGGGCTGAGAAGCAGAACAATATTCAAAAGACTTCCAGGGGTTGAGCATCAAAGGCACATCCTCATTTCAGAGGAGCACAGCCAGGTGGGACAGACAGAGGTGCTCTCCTCCAAGGGATTTTAAGAGAAAAAGCTGTGCTGGCCTTCAGTCCCACAATGGCTGTGCACCTTTCACACCAAAACAGGCTGCAAAGGGAATCTGTGCCCCGTGGAAATTCAAGGGGAAACACCACATTGATGTGAGAGCTCAGAGGTGGAGGAACAATAACCTACATGCTGAGATTTCAAAAGCATCTGTGCTCACTTGGAAGGTAAGTCATGTTCTCCAAGACAGAACAGCAAAGTCAATAGATATCAGCCCTTAAGACAGCAAAAAGATTTCCCAGAGTTGCTCAGTGAATGAAAGCAAAGTGTGTTCCATTAGCACATACTCTCCTGCCCTCACTTCCTCCTGCTCACCAGCTATGCTCAGATGTTTTTTCCTTTTCAAACTCCCCACCATGAAACTGCAGTTTTCAGTTCTGTTACAAGCAGATTTTGCACACTTGTCTCAACAAAAACAGGACAAGTAGAGCCCTGAGAGGATGCTAAAAAATGTCCCTTCTGTGTGGGAACTTCCCCTGTCACATACTCTCCTGCCCTCACTTCCTCCTGCTCACCAGCTATGCTCAGATGTTTTTTCCTTTTCAAACTCCCCACCATGAAACTGCAGTTTTCAGTTCTGTTACAAGCAGATTTTGCACACTTGTCTCAACAAAAACAGGACAAGTAGAGCCCTGAGAGGATGCTAAAAAATGTCCCTTCTGTGTGGGAACTTCCCCTGTGGCAGGAAGCAGAACCTCTGTAAATTCTCTCTCCTTAATGTGACCCCATTGTGCAACGAGACCAGGCACTGCCCTGTACAGGAAAGCGAGTTTGTTTCCTTTCCAAAAGATTGTACTTTGCATAACTTGTTTCATACAGAAACTATAAGTAAAACACTTCTGTCTTAGCACAGTTAAAGCAACCACTGCTAGAAGGTGCACGACTTTGGGGATCTTTCTGGCTTTAACTGCACTGTAGCCTGTTTGGGACAGGGAATTTTTCATAGCAATATTCTTTTCTAAGGCTAATATAATCTTTAAAGGATAAAACCCAAGTTGCAGTCATCAGTCATCATCCCCAACATGTCTTAATCCCTGAGTTTTGTTCAGACCATCTCAGGAATGGTAATTTCCATAGACACAGCTCTGCCAATGAGCAGTTGTCAGAGCAGACTTCACCTAAAACCTGGAGCCAATACCTTTCACAGGGATGTTTCTCAGACAGAGAAATCAGCAAATTCTCAAGACTTTCCCAAACCAACCCAGTTTGCTTTAACATTTTTTTCTATGCCTTTGCCAAAAGCTTCAGTGCCTGCAAAGCAAGCTGCACAGTGTGAAGCTGAGAGCTCCTGCTTTGCATTCACAGACAAGTGGGTAAGCAAGCTCCGTGGTTGGAAATGCATTATCCTCCTCTTAAGCCAGGAATTACATGGCATGTTGGTAAGAAGTTAGAGATCTCTTACCTTGGGCATGCAGTCAATAGCCAAGAGATGTTTTCAGCTCGTTCACCACACAGCTAATGTCCAGCTGAGAGCTCTCTCAGGGCCACTCTTAACTCTCCCTCCACCCAGGGCAGTCTGCCTGATTAGATGGTTTGTCTTTCCCAGCTCCTCCCTCCAGACCCAGCAGTGACAAAGTGCCTCCTTCCTCAGGAGGAAACTCTTGGACTGCTTTAGCCTAAATAGAACCTAACGTGACACAGTAAAGACTGAAAGAGCAAACAAACAGCACTTTTTATGTTAGCAAACTGTTTCCACTGGGTCAGGGTTTCCTGAAATACACTCACAATGGCATGAAGTTCACCAGATGGAGCTGGTTCCTTACAGGACTCATCGCAGACAGCACTCTGGAACCTGCATGAGCCAACTAGTCCGACCTGCTGGTTGTCCCTGGTGTAAACAAACAGCTTCCTGCTCTTCTCCAACACCGCTGGCAATTTACTGACTATGACAACCATTTCCCTCTCCTCAGCACTGCTAGTTTCTACAGTCAGTAAAGTAACAGGTCCCTCGTTCCCAAATTGCTCCTTCTGGTTCCAAAAGGCAGGTGGTGAACCCTGGGGTTAGCTGTTAAAAGGAGGATACTGCATTTCCAAGAGGACAAACACTGCTGATACACACAAACACAAATCAACTTACCTCCTGTACAGTCACAGACCCAATACTGCTTTCAACCATTGGTGTAAAGACAGTGAAAACAGGATATAAAATAGCTTTTAATACCAACAACAACAAAACAAAACAAAAAAAAAAAGAAGTTGCTGATTCTTCAGTGCATTTTGGTTCTGAGTTTTAGAGAGGATATTCTCCAGCTTCCATCACACGCTGGATGGAAAGAAGAGAGCAAGTTTGAAAGCAGCAAGGGAAGCCTCAGCCCAGAAGACTGAAAGGCTACAACTCCACCCTCTGCTCCTTCCGCCCAGCACCACGGAGCAATTCCTGAGGAAATTAGAGACGATGATGCATCCTCTCTGTGATGTACTCAAGTGGGGTGGAACGAGTCACCACCTCGTTAAGCAATTCCGTGTCTGACGAGCAACACCCTGTGCTGGGTTTGGCTGGCAGAAGAGTTAATTTGCTCCTCAGAGGTTAGCACGGGCCTGTGTTTTGGGTTTGTGCTGCAAACAGTGCTGAGAGGATGGAGATGTTTGTCTAAGTGCTGCTCAGCAGTAACAGATCACAGCCTTTTCTGCTCCTCGTCCCTCCCCACCAGCTGGGGGGGCACAGGGAGGTGGGAGGGGACTCAGCCAGGACAGCTGACCCCAGGGATGTTCCACACCACATGGCATCCTGCTCAGCATGTGAAGCTGGGAAGGGGGAAGAATTGGGGACATTTGGAGGATGTCATTTGTCTTTCCAAGTCCTTGTCATGCTGTCCTGGGGATGGCTGGACACCTGCCCTGGGAAGGGGAGGATGAATTCCTTGCTCTGCCTGAGCACACAGCTTTTGCTTTACCTACTGGACTGTCTCCATCTCAACCCACAAGTTTTCCCACTTGTTCTCTGCTGATTCTCTGCCATGCTGCAGGTGGGGACTGAGTTGCTGGTTGGGATGAAACCACGACACACCCAAACCCCAGATCTTTGGGCACAAACAGATCCTCAGTGGTGGGATGAAAACACTGGTTACAATTCACTGTGCTGGATGTGAGCAACCTGAGCTCTTTGTAAGCCCAATGGGAAGAGCTCTTGATCATGCAGGAGCTCTGAACAAACACCCTGTGAACCTCCATCTAGAAACCCAAAAGGCTTTTCCAGCACACTCTCCAGGAAAGCCTCTCATGGGAAGCCACACAGAGGCTGCTGGAGGTGGTTGTTTTCAGTCTGGTGACTCTGAAGAAACATTCCCCAAGTGCCCAGCACACTGGACTGTTAGAAACCACCATGTCCCACATGGAGAGTCATCATGTTCTTCCTCAGGATGGTTAACACTCAGTTTCCATGACTTGGTATTAATTTTTGCTTCCACTTCAAACACACAAAAGGGCTGTTATGTCCAAATCACACATTTATTCAGACACACAACTTCTCTGTTGCACAAGGTCCACAGAGGAAGAGACATTTCTCCCCTCAGAACAGAGCTGTGGGCACAACCAGGGGCTGATGGCAGAACTCCTTTGTCAACAGCCTCTTGACTTTAAACCAAGTCCCAAGCTCAATTCTGGCAACTTCTCATCAAGTCAAACCCTGTTACATGAGCTGTTCTCAAACACAGGAAAACAAAACCCCATACTATTTAGAAAAATATCACTCTGAACTATATTACTATTTATCTGCACATAAACTCATGTTTCTTCCTGGTTTTTATAGGCCACTTGTAATTCATTTTAACTAAAAGTCATGAAATTCGAGGACAAACAGCAATTTCGAGCATATTTCCCTCTTTGGCACCTTTTAAAAATCTGACAAAAATATGATAATTTAGTATAAGAAATGGAAAATAAAGTGAAAAGGTGTCCATAAAAACTTACACTTTTCCTAAGTAATACTTGTAAATACAAAAGGAAACAAACAGCAAAAATTGTGGCACTCTAATCCTGCTCTGTGGGTCAGGCAAACCACAATCTGTAAAATGTGAGCTGGGCAGGAGCCTGGTGTGTCACACACGAACTCAGCAGGTCAGGCAAACACCAGGGTGAGCCAGATGCTGCAAACCCACCCACCTCCCTCTCAACACACCAAGCCTGTCCTCCCCAGGGCACAGGGAGGTGTCTCACTCAGACATCCCTCACTGCTGCAGCTCACCAGTGCCAACGTCTCTGTGCTCCTCACAAATCCCTGCCGGCAAGGAAAACTAAACTACAAAACCTCTAACAACTCTAACTGCAAACTGTCAACAGACTGAAAGCTCATTTCCTTCTGGACCTACAGGAGGATCTCCACTCCAACAAACACCTCCTTCCTGGGCAGCAAACACACTCCTGGCTTTGTTCTGGGAAGAGAACCTGTAAAACGTTTGGAGCAGGAGCTGATGGCAGCACTGTGCTCCCACCCCAAGCCTGACAGGGCAAAGCCCACCCCAGTGCTGCCCAAATGGAATGTGTCTCTGCTCACAGGGGCTGCAGTGCTCACTGAGGGGACAGGAAAGACCAAGGCTGGCGCTGCACTTGCTGCCTGTGAGGATCCACACAGATGGTGCTTCTTGCTGCACTCTGGAAACACTCCTGAAATGTCAGTTCCTACCAAGCTCAGCTTCACACAAGAATAAAATCAACAAGCAAGACAAGGAACAAAGAACACTTCTAAGCATTTTTCCATCAACTGAGGAATGTGTCCGAACTTAGAACTTAATGTGCCACTAACCATGGACAGGGACTCTCCAAGCACAGCACTGCTAAGAGGATCAGACAAAATCCAGCTTAATAAAAAATCCAGTGAGTTTCAGAAGCACCAGCCAAACCTCTGGGCTGTGATCTTGACTGTGACAGTGGCTCACAGAAACAGTGGCCAAGGAGTCACTTCTATATCCTGATTTGCAGCTTGGGATAATGTTCTTCACCATCCATCACCCAGGATTAACTGGTTAATATGCTTCCACAGAGCTTCAAAGAACCCTTGTTTGTTTTCCAAGCACTATTTTAATTCCACAGTACCATAAGTGAACCACTGGAAAAACACTTAGAAGTTAATCAGCAGCAAGTTGTGTTTTTTCTAAACAGGTCATACTTGCTATTGGCTCTTGACTGCTACAGCAGTCCCAGCTCCCACAGACCATAAAATCTACATCCTTTGACAGCAAAAAAAAAAAACCACTTAAAATATAACTTTTCACAGATATTTAAAAAAAAGGTCAGTTTGACTTTCTCTGTACCTGTAAGTCTACCTTGTCATCTTTATGAGTTAAGGCACAGTCTCTCACTACAGATTTCCATCCTTCGGATTTCTGAACACAGAAAACCATGCAAACCTGTTGCACCCACTCCACACTCCTGGCAGACTCTGTACCAACTGCAATGTCATTTAACTATCAAGGCACAATGAAGAACAGCAGGCTAACAGGACAGGGATATGGAAGCAATGTCAGTTCCCAGCTCTCCTGGGCAGTGGGCAGCAAAGTGCTTCATCTCTGGCAGCTTCACCTAGAGAAAACTGAACTGTTCAAAGCAGGGTGAGCAATAACCAGAGCCTGAGCACTCAGTGAAGTCCATGCCCAGAGGCAGAGCCTCCAGCACACAAAATCTATGGCAACAGAATGTGGCTGTGACAATGGAAGCAAATACATTGGAGAGATACGCAAAGCTGATCAAAATTAAACAACTATTCTTCTTTTGGTGAACTATTGAGCTATCACAGGAACAACTGAACCTTTATTCCTCTGCTGCTTTAAAGCAGGATACCCATTGCTAGGAATTCTGCTGCAGCAGTGCCCAGAGGGACCCAGGAGAGCTCTGGGTCCCACCGTGCTAGGCATTATCTTAACAAATATTGCAATGCTTGGTATAAACAGAAATGAATCACAAGGATTGTATCAGCCAAGGAAGAGTTCATCTTCCAAAGTCTCTGTGGATGCCACTGCACACAGCTGGTGCTAGAGCAATGTGTGTTTTCTCCTTTCTGTGTCTGTAGCTGAGAATCAATCACCCTTTGTTTCTGCGGCTCATGAAGATCTCCCGTAAAAGGGCAACAGCAGGAGAGTTACCTACAAACATATAAACTGAAAGAAGACAAATATTATATGTGGCTACTTGCAGATGTCTTGAGAGTTACAAATTGTGAGTGAAATATTCCTGGGGAGTGAAAGAAAACCCACTAAGTCCAAATGTGCTTGTTCAAAAAGGAGATGAGTTTCACCTGCCACTTTGCTTCCCTAGGGTCTGCACCAACATGTCCCAGGGAGGTGAGTGTGGTACACACACCTCTGCTTAGCCACTGCAGCACTCCCCATAGGATTCTCCAAGGAAACAGGTTCCCAAATAGCATCTCCCTACCTTATATCTGTCCATAGGATCTTCCTGCTGCAGCTGACTCTCTCGCATGGTTTGGTACTCTCTCTCATATTTCTTCAGCTTTTTCGTTGGCACCTGTGGAACAGATTTGGGAAACATGCATTGAAAGGTGAGAGGAACACGGGAAAGGCTGCCTGAAAGCTCTTCTTGCAGACAGGAAACTGAGGAAGAGGTGGAAAGCTGCTGCTGAGTAAAGTCTGTCCCTGCTGCCCTCCCCTTCCCTACTCAGCAAGCCGTGTCAAACACTCACCAGTACAGCTCACATCCACTGCAACCTCTCTGTGCCTGCTGCTGCTAATTATTCCAGCACTTAAAGGGAAGCAAGAGCGAACTAGAGACATTTTAACGGGAGTAACCAGAAGAAAAAAGCCATGAACAACAGGAGTGGGAGACCAGGGAAGAGGAAAACACACTTTGATATGTATGATTCACCAAAACAATGCCTGAGCAAGACAACTGTTAGAAACGAGATGAGAAGAAAGGAGTGCTCATACAAAAAAGCCTGGACAATTCCCTGGGGGAGAGGCAAGTAATGGTTTTTATTGCTGAGAGAGTATTAATGTTGGAATTACAGCCTGTAACCAGTGCCCTCATGAATTCTGGCACCAGACCCCTCCTGGGCACAGGTGGAGACACTGCAGGGAACAGTGAGGCAGCTCAGAGAAATCCCAACCAAATCTGGTGAACAGCCATGCAGAAAGGCCAAGCCCCAGGCTGGTCCTGGGAAAACACCTCTTCCACTTCAAACACAGCACAGACAGAACCTGTGTTCTCAGAAACAAAGCGTGGGGATCCCCTGCTTTCCCTCCACAGTGGGTATGGAGCTCTCCAGGAGTGATCCCACCTCCCCCTGGAGACCCCTGGCAGCATTCCTCAGGTCTGCTGGCAGCTGGAGAGATCCCCTAGTGCCATGTACCACCAGCCTTCCCCGGATCTGTTGTGCAGTTCTCTGTTCCTCTTGCCTGCATTGATCATGTTTAGCTGCCTCCTGGTGCGAGGACATGTCACTGTCACCTTGCCTTAGGGCAAAAAACTACTGCCAATGAGTAGAGAGAGATGTTTCCATGTAGTTTCACTGATGTTTTCCCTTTCCTGGTTTTCAGCCCAGTGCTTCCTGCTCTGCAGTACAGAAGGGACCAAGCAGGTGCTCAGTGCTGCAGCAGAGAGAGGCACAGGGAGCAAACTCATGATCTGCAAAGCACAGGGAGCACTAATAAAGCAGCCCCAATTCCCACAATTACTGATGGAACCTGAAACCAACCCCCTTAAAGAAAGCAAAGAGAAAAGGGTGAGGATAAAAACATGGAGCATTTTGGGCAAACATACAAGAAAACTTCGCTTTGGTGACAATTAATAATCCAAAATGCTGTGAAATGAAAATGACTGAATCAGAGATGTTTTTATATGTTTCAGCTGAGCAATACTGGCAGCTCAAGCCCAGCTAGCTTGGTCTGAGCTGCAACCTGATACTGTTGAGGCTACTCAGTAGTCAGGAAGGAGAAATCATTTCACAATAGTGTTCCAAGCGAAGCGAACCCATCACACATCCGACGCCTGATCCATCCCCTCCTCCACCACACTCACTGGGCTCTCACCCAGACAGACCAAGGCTCCCAGGCTGAGGTGTTCTGAGGACACCCTCCAAACCCAGATCTGTGCTGCTCTGCAGCTTTGTGCTCCAACACACAACCAGCAGGAAACCAAGATGAATATGAGGGAGACACTGTGGTGCAGCAAGGCAAAAAGGCACAGCACAGGTGTATCTTTGAAGATATGTGTTCAGCCGAAGATTTTCCTCATTCTGGATGCTTTTCACTAAAGGTTTTAAAGTGCATGAAAGAACTAAGTCTCACTGCACAGGGAGAGGCACAAGCCTCTATGCACGTGGCTGCATGAGTGCCTCAGTAAGAATCCCCTTGTCGTGGGGCAGGAGATGTAAGGGATTTTTTTGGTGTGCAAATAGGGAGAAAAGAGTGGAAAGCAACCACCAGATCTGCTTCAGCTGCTTGGGAACAAAAGTCCTGGTTCTCTCTAGAACCCAGGAGATACAGGCAAAATACAGCCTAAAGGTAACGATGTGAGCAACTGTTACTGAGAGAGCAAATGGGCCACAAAGCACTGCTGAGACCCAAATACCTCTCTGAGCACTGTGACACTGCTGTCCCCGACCAGGCTGAGCCTCTGCACCAGGAGGTGACTGCTGCTCCTCAGAGACCTCACAGGCAGCAGTGAGCAGCTCCCGGTACCTGTTTTACACTGCCAGGGCATTCTTACTTCTCTGGCTTCATCTCACATTCTCTGTCTCTTGATGAGGCAGAATTTACTTGCACAGAGCCTATTTGGCACTTAATAATCTGCCCCAACAACACCAGACATTGATATGAACATGTCACATCACAAACCCTGTGATGAGCAGCAGAGAACAAGGGTCAGCTGCTTTGTTTAACTCCTCATCTTCACATGTTTCTTAATACCTGGTAATTCATCCCACCACCTGCTCTTATCTACATGTCCTCTTTCCTCTCCTAGATTTTAACCCACAGCTGTGAGTGGGACAGTGCTGGGTCCCCTGGGGCTGTGTGTGGGATCAGCTTCCTTGCTCACCCCAACAGGAGCCACCCATGGCACAGAAAATTTCTATGCTCCTTGAAAGAACATCTCAACTGATGCATGTTAGTATCTATTTGTGCTTGTCTTAACTGGGTAGTAGCACCTAAAGACAGTGGAGGTCCATCTTCAGGGACTGGGGGGGAATTCCTATCAGCAACCAGTCCAAACTAATCCATTTATCTCCTGCAACAGAAACTGCACCAGGTATGCTTAGGAACTTTGGCAGGGACTGTGCATCACTGCTATTGTCTGTTCAGCCACATTACTCAAAGGAGTTGGATAATTTATTACAGCACTTTCTTCTGAGTATACACTAATAAATGGGGAAAAAATATTTCAAAGCCCATTTCCATATTCCCTGATTTAATTCCCTGGAACAGTTTGTGAATTCAACAAGGGACTTCTCAGTAAGCCCTTTCATAAGTAAGTGCTTAGTGCTAGCTATGCTTTAGTCTTCATGGGGGGAGCCTGACCAAAGTGCTCATAAATTCTCTGTAAAAGCTTCTGCACTATTGATTTTCTCTTCCTTCAGCACCATTTGGTCTATTGGCTCCAACTGATGGTTATCAACTTTAGGAGACTCTTATGGTTTATAAACATTGCTCATCTGTTTATCTCAATATCTTATCTCATTGACTCATTTTCTTTTATTGTCTTCAAGCATAAAATCATGTTACAACTAGTTGTACATAGGGAAGAAGTCACGCAGAGCATCTCAATAAAACATCCACATGGGGAAAACTCAACAAGCAAAACCTCTTTCTGAAAAAAAAAACCCTACAAAAATACTTTGGTTTTAGCTGCCTCTGTTCAGACAGGGCTGGAAAGGTTTGCTCCACCTTTCTGGACAATCCTGAGCGTGGGCACTGTGCCGAGCCTCGGCATCCGCTCAGCTCCAGGAGAACTTCCCTCATTCCCTGATTTCCTTAGCTGTTCAGCCTGACCTTGCTGGATCCATAAATCACACACCTCTGACTCCTTCCTCCCAATGCTTTATTGCTCTAATGCAGCCCGAGGAGGCAGTTATCATTATGTTCATCTGACAGCCAAGGAAATGGGAGCAGAGACGTAAAGCGATTTCCTGAACATATTGCAGGCAGCCAGAGGCTGAGCCACAGTGAAATCCTATTACTGACTTTGATTTCCAGCACTGCCACAATGCCAGGCCCAGCACGGCCTCCTTCCCAGATTCCCACTTATTTTCTCCATCCAGCACTGCAGAACCACCCCCAAAACACACTGTCCCGTCACACTGACAACACAGCCACTGCTCTGTGATCTCTGTATCCTTAAACAGTTTTTCCTCTCTAGTTCTTGCCTCAGTGTGGTAGAACAAAAATTCCCAATCACACACAATGTCTTACTTCACACTAGAAGTTGTACCAACTTGGTCTAGTCAACAGTTCCTATTTAAAACACAACTACATCACACTCAAGGAAAGCAGCAGCTGCATTTTAAGGTACACAGCTCTGCTTAAACACTTTGTTAGGCCAAATGAAGGGTTTAATGGAACAGAAGTAGATGAAGAAACCAACTCAGTGCTACTGACTAGATGAAGACACCAACTCAGTCCCCTTCCTCTGCAGGGGACACCAGAACTGTATGCAGTACTCCAGTGGTTGTCAAAAGGCATGAAGAAGTCTGTGCCATGTCTGTCACATAAGACTCAGAAGTAGATAAGCCATTCATTTTTCTTTTGGGAGGATGAAGCAAGAACAAACCCCACAGCACCATGTTGACACAGCAAACTTGTCTCTTGGCTTAGGGGTCAGGGGGGTGTCATAGTTAGCTACTACACAAGACAACCTGAACAACTCCAATGGGATCTTCAGCACAAGCATGAAATTGGAGAGGACAGAGAGCAAATCCCAGTTTCTCACAGACTTCTATTTGTGCTGGGTGGTCTGCAGAGAAAAAAACCTGCAGCATTCACTTGTAAAAGTTAATGTAGGTACCAGAATCAGCTGCTGCCTAAAGGAGATTCACAGGCTGAAGCACAGGCTGGAGAATTCCCATTTCTCCTTCTGACACTGGGGGGGAAGGGCTCACTGACAAGAGGCTGTTTCACTGCAGGTTTGAAATGCAGCAGAGAAGTTCAGTGTTTCACCACACTACAGACAACCCTCACCAGAAAGCTCAGTGAACACCATCTCACCCCTGGGTTTGAGGCACAATAAAAGCCCTGACTGACAGATGCTATTTTACCATTTCCACTGTGTTGGAGAAGTCACTGCTGAATGTGTATCTCAGTGCCTGCTGCAGCATCTCTCCAGCTCCTGTTGCTCTCTGCACATCAGCAAAGCAGCTCCACCCCAGCACACCTGAGCATCCCCTCACTGCAGGGGCAGAGTCAGCTCCTTGCCAGCTCTGTAGGGGTAAGAACTCCTGAAGATTTCTTCAGGTATAACACAATCTCCTCAGGATAACAGAAATCCAACCTGAATGCTGGCCAGAGGCTAAGGAA